TAAAATAATAAAGCTTAGACCATCTACATTTAGGGAATATCTAATATAGTTGATTTTCAATCTACTATTTTGCTATTTGTTCTTATTTGTGTCATCTAATTTTATTTCCTTTCCATTCCTTCTTTTGGTTCAATCGAGATTTCTAAAATATTATTTTGCTTCTGATACTGGCTTATTAGTTATGTCTATATATGCTTAAGGGAGGTATATGTGTATTTATAGTAGGTAGTTTATGGTTTATAATTTAAATTACTGATTTATCATAGCCTACCTAAAATAATACTATGCCACTGCAGGTATAGTATACGTCAACTGTATAGTTTTTCTTTCAACATTTTTGTCGTTTTTTAATATTTTTTTAGTTGTAGATAGACACAATACCTTTATTTTATTTTTATGTGGTGCTAAGGATTGAACTCAGTGCTCTCCATATGCAAGGCAAGCACTCTACCACTGAGCTGTAACCCCAGCCCCATTTTTATTATTTTTGTATTACATTTTGCTTCAATACATGTTAAAAAAGGAGCTTCTTTCTTTCTTTTTTCTTCCTTTCTTTCTTATTATCTATTTTTCCATCTAAGTTACCTGAAATAGTAAAAAAGAGAGAGAGAGAGAGAGAGAGAGAGAGAAAACTTTTATGATTACTATTTCTGGAATTATTCATTTCATATAACATCTAGAATTTTTCCACATTTTATATGCATATCTGCTAACAACAAATCCCAGCTTTTGTCTTCAAAAAAGAAATAAGATTTTTTGAAACCCTTAGCTTTGCCTTCATTGATAGGTTCTGCACCCCCGCCCTCTTCTTTTAGCTCTTTAATGACATTGTTGTATTGTCTTTCAACCTGTTTAGGTCCTATCCTTGTTTCTCTGTGTGCAATGTGTCATTTTTCTTTGTGTGCTCTTAAGGGTTTCTCTGTCTCTGATTTTCAGTAATTTTATTATCATGAACCTTACTGTGATTTTCTTTCTGTTTATCCTGATTGTGGTTTATTGAGCTTCTTGGAACTGTAGATTCATAATTTTCATTGAGTTTGGATGGTTTTCAACAATATTGCATCAACTATCTTTTTGGTTCCCATTTCTCCCATTTCCTGGCACTGTAAACATGTATTTTAGACTACTCGATTTTGACACTGAGGTTCTTGGTCATCTTTTTAGTTCATTTTGTTAATTTTCTCCCTTGTGCTTCATTTTGAATAGTTTTTGTTGCTGTTGTTAATTCCACTGATTTTTTTTTCTTTGCAATGCTTAATCTTCTGTGAAAATGATCCAGTGAAATTTTCATTTCAGTTTTGTATTTTTCATTTTAAAGGTTCTGATTGGTTCTTTTTTATACATTCAACTTCTGTTCTCGTTGAATTCATTTGCTACATTTAAATGTTTTAAAAAAATAATTAGTTGATTATTATAGTTTGGGGGAGGGTGGTATTGGGGATTGAATTCAGGGGTAATCAACCACTGAGCCACATGTCTCTAAATAAATGCAAAATACTTATTTTGTATTTATTTAGAGACATGTTCTCACTGAGTTGCTTAGCGCCTCACTCTTTCTGAGGCCTGGCTTTGAACTCGCAATCCTCCAGCCTCAGCCTCCTGAGCCACTGGGATTACAGGCATGTGCCACCATGCCCAGCTTAATTGATTATTTTAATTGGCAAAAATTGTATAGATTTGTCCAGTATAGCATGATGCTTTACAATGCACACATTATGGAATGGCTTGATAGAACTAATTAATGTATGAATTATCTCACATGCTTATAATATTTTGTGAGAATACTTTAAATCTATTCTTTTAGCAATTTTCAAGAATATAAAACATTATTATTAACTATTATCACTGATTTGGATGATAGTTCTCTTAAAATTATTCAATTTAAATGAAAATTTAAATCCTTTGACCAATATCTCCTATTCCCTATTTCCTAGTATGTGTTCACCATTCTACTCTCTGCTTCTACAATTCCTTTTTCAGATAGTTTGATGTTAATATATTTTAAATATTCATAGATTTTCATATGTAAATTTTGTATCCTACAATTTTGATAAATTGATTTATTAGCTTTTGGGGGGGTAGAATTATGTTTTTAATTCTTGAGCACATTCCTAATAGCTATTTTATCATAATAGTTTCTGATTCCAGCAGACCTGTCATTTCTGGGTCTGCTTTTATTGATTGATTTTTCTCTTATCTGACTTACCCTGATTTTTTACATACCTAGTAATTGTTTACCAGCTGCTAAACATTATGAATATTGCTTTGTAGAGTGTCTAGATTTTTTTTTTTAGTTAAAGAATATTAAATAGGGAGTAAAGAATGTGTGGTGGGCAGTAAAGTAACTTGCAGATCACTTTTTTCCCTCCAAGATTTGTTTTTAAGATTTGCTCAAGTGAGTCTACAATAACATTTACTTTAGGCTAATTTATTTCTATTAATAATTGTGACTTCTGTGGTCTCTAAATGTCTCAAAGATCTGTGCAACCTTGGCTAGTTAGAACTTGAACATGTTTCTCCTATAAAAGCTCCAGAGACTGCTTAGCCTACAAAGTTCTAGCAGTTATTTGCCCAAACTCATGCAGTTTCTCTCTATGCATCTATAGTTCACTATTAAGCAATCCATGCAAAGGGACATCTGTGCTTATTGCTGAAGTCTTTTTTTTTTCTCTTATCTCTCTCTTTCTAGTGCTCTGTCCTGTACATTCCAGCTGCCTCAATCTGTCCAGACTCTGATTTCTGTCTTTTCAACTCATTAAGTCTATGAGTTTAGGCTCTTCCTATCTGCACTGTAATTTGGAAAGGACCTTTAGGCAGAAAGCTGCTGTGATAGCAGGGCTTTCCTCATTTGCATCTGTCCTTGCCTTTAACATAATTCTGCACTACTTGTTGTCCAGTTTTTGGAAACAGATGCTTCATGTATTTTGTCCTGATTTCTAGTGCTTTGTGGTGAGAAATCAATTCCAGAGTCGCTTACTCTAACACAGCCAGAGTGGAACAATGCTGCAAAGATTTTAAAACTCTGCAAATGATAAGTGAACTCCTGAATGCCTCCTTCTACAATGGATGGAGGGGGTGAAGAGGGAGACTTGTAGACAACTCTAAAGCTTCTTTCTTGCTAGAGTTTAAGAAATGCATTTTATTTGGAAGTATTTTTGCCTCCTTTTCAAAATGGAATTTAGTAGAAATATTTATTTTTTGCAAGTTGGAAAAAGTTCCAACTTTAAATTTATGCTCTTCCCATAAATGAGGATTAATTAGGCAGTTTTGCAAATACCAAAGTATTGTTAATTTGGATCAGTGATGATGAAGGGGCAGCTGCTGCTGCTCATGATACTGACTACATTAACTTAAGCACCTCCAGTCAGTACCAGGCACTGTATTAGGGCACTTTGCATTGATTAATTTTACTCTTCCACAACAATCCTGCAAGTAAGAAATCAGGATCCTGAGAAACTCAAGGAAGTTAAGTTAGTTCCTCAAGTTCACACGCTAAGAACTAAATGCCCAGTGACTGAATTACTCCATGGTAATTTAGTGGCTAGAACTGGGAAACAATCTCTGCTCACCGCTAACAATGCCTCCTTCGTATCATGCTGCTCTCTGATTCTATCTTTACCTGAGCTTTCCCATCTGGCAAATTAAAGTGGAAAACAGTGAACTCCCTCCCCAGAGAGGCTGTGTTATTATATACATGTTTTGCATTATTTTGCTCTGAATAACWGCATATGTAAATGTGCTCCTGGAGATTAAAATTACCCTTATTTTGTAAAACTTGGCCTCTTCCACTAGGGTGAATAGTTGAAAATTATGGGGAGGAGAAGGCAAGCTGGAGAGAATGTTAACTGGCTTGGAATTGCTTTTCCTCCTTTCTGCCCACCCATACATAGGGGTGTTCAAACACAAGCTGCCATTAGCAGAGCGAAGAGAAGTTTCCCATCGTGGAGTACTAGCCGATTCTGATGTTTGGTGTCCAAAGCGGGTTAATCCAAATTTTAATGCCTGGGTCCCAGGTTGATACGTAGGGGCAGATGTTCTTGCTGAGAAGAATGAAAGCTTCCTGTCGCACCTGGAAGCCCTTATCACACCTGGTGCCCAGCAGGGTCACAAAGAGATTCTGGTTAACATGGGCACATGGTGGCTGCCAACCTCTTGTGCAGAGGTTGGCGTGGCCCCGTGCCTTGGGCTGTCCGTGGGCCCTGTGTTGTTGAGCCATCCCTATCTTGAACTGCCTTTCCTGGCATCTGAATCATCACTTCGATGATGTGATAATATCTGCAAGTTGGGAAAATAAAAGTGGCATTTGTTTAGCTATAATTAATGAAATATTTATGTTGCATGAGACTATGTGATAAAACCTTAGGCTTAGAGTCCTTGTGCTTCTGATTACATTTGGGATTTTTTTTTTCTGTGACCAGACATTCTGACGCCAGCTCTTTTACACTGAGCAGATGTCATGTAGTAAAAATGGGTGCCAGATGCTGTGAGCCGCAGAAGGGCGATTTGTTTAAGAGCTGGCTCCGACTTTTTTGCATTCAATTACTCTGTAGAAAGAACCTTACACAAGTGTTTAGGTAACTCAGCTAACTTCAGACATGCATTTTAATAATAGATCTCATCTCTGAATGCATTGTAAGCAGCATACCATATAAATGGTGTTTAAGGAATTAATTGATTTCTGCATAATACCTTGCTTTTTGGTTTTCTTGGCTTTTTTTTTTTTTAATATGAGAAGAGAGCTGCAAAGCTCTTGGCGGGGATCCAGAAATGTAATTAACGTAGAGGGCCAAATTTTCAGTTGCCCTTAGGTACTGCTTCCTCAAGCTCCTGGCAGGTGCAGCTCAGGGAAGGCAGGGAGGGAGGACATGGGGAAGTGCAAGGAGGGAAAGGCAGCTTTGGTGCACAGAGCAAAAAAAAAAAAAAAGAAGCTAACAGTTCAGTAAGTTCTTCTCTTCCCATTTCAGGCTCCAAGCACATCCCTGTTGGAGCCCAGGTGACAGAGGCTGCCTCTCCATCTTCCTCGGCCACCTCCTCCTCTTCAGCAGATGAAGAATTCGATTCCCCTTTTTCCTGGAGGTCAAAGGTAACTTCATTTGGAAAACCAAACAAGGTGTTGGTCAGCCTCGGGTTTCAGACTCAGTGTGGGCTCTTAGCAGCAGTGAATCCATTAGGAGGACCATGGTGCTTTGCCTCCGAAGCAGCCCTTCTTTTTACTTGGAATACCCCCAAAATTACCTCCATTAAAAAAAAAAAAAAAAAAAAAAAAAAAAAACTTTCTCAGGGACTCTAATTGGGAAAGGGAAAAAAAGAGGCATATTTACTTGAAACCATTTGGTAACTGCAGCTCTTAAAAGCTGGTTTAATATGTGGTCCAACAAGCAAACCATTGAAAAAATTACACCAAGCAGATGCATATTTCCCCGAGGGAAGCACAACTTCATTTAAGAAGCACTAGAGGCAGATTGCATGGAAAATGTGATGTTTATTCTAATCAGAACTATGAAATGCATCTAGACACGGACACTCTGAGGATCCTACAACAGAAGGGGCTAGCCATGTGCCTGCGGGGGAGGCAGCAGTCTTCTTCATTTAGGGAACATTAATACTTCTAGAGACTACTTTAAACAACTCTCGTGCCCATAGAGAAAGAACACATCCGTGAGGCTGTAGGTGTTTCTGTCTGTCACAGACTCAGGGACAAGCATCCAAAACCAAAGTCCACTGGTGCTTTCTTTATCCACTGGGGCTGGAGCCTTTCCACTGGGACCAGGGAGGGGTGATAAATATCTGGATCTAAAATGTTTCCCCGGTGGACAGAGAAGCAGTTCACTGCTCTGGTGGTGTTTATTTTTTTGGAGCAGTGTTGGGGAGGGAGGGAGAGACCCAAATTTATTTACTGAGACTCAACTTTTCCATATCTGGCATTGGGAGCTTTGGCATCACCTCAAGTCACTCGGGGGTTCCAATTCCCCATGGTTTAGCTTGGAACAGTCAGAAGGGGGCTGGGACAAGAGAGAAAGAGAGTGACGGGGTGGGGGGGGCGGGGAGATGGAGAGAGAGCGTGTATGGATTTCTCATTTTTAAACGTGCGGCTTCTCTGATTAGCTTAATGCTCAACACAATGGATTGTGCCTTGTGATTCTGGAGTCTCCTTTCTACTCCTGATCCCCTTGAGGGACCCTAAGTTAATTCTGTGTTCAAATGAGACAGAAATCCCAGCTTTGACGGCTTCCACACTCAAGGAGAATAAAAGATTGGAGTGGCCAAAACACATGGAAGTAGCAAGATGATGTTTTTAAGGGCCAGCCTCACAAATAGTTCCTTGTCCTCCTGCTGGCCCAGCACAGAGCTAGTTGTCACTTATGCTGGCCGGATGGCAAAAGCATGCCTGCTTCGCCTGGCTTCTAAGGCATCCTGCTCTTACTGGAAGGGAAACTGGCAGCAGGATCCCTTACTCCTAAGGACTCACTCACACTGAAGGAACAAGGGGAAGTGTTTGTCTTCTAGTTTCCTCATTTCTTCTGTCCCGTGTTGGTGTGTCCCCAGCCAGGTGGTATAAAGCCCAGGCAGCTCAAATGACCCCTCTGTACAGGAAACTGTACAGATATGTCCCCTCTGCCTCTTCCTTTTGCTCCGACCTGCCCCACCTTTGCCTTTCCACCCAAACCCACACCTGGATCTGAGACAGACAGGAAACCATGTGGTTCAGCCAGTTTTCTCCCTTTTCCCCCTACTGTCTCTTTCCTTCCCTAGCCCTCAGCCTCTCCCCTCGCTGCTCTGCATCGTCACTCTATTGAGAATATATGAACTGAGCCTGGCATATAATAAAGTCATCTGAATGCTTGTTATTAAAGCAGACTTCCTTTCTACATCAACATCTTTTTTTTTTTTGATACCAGGAATTGAACCCAGGAGTGCTTAACCACTGAGCCACATCCCCATCCCAATTTTGTATTTTATTTAGAGACAGGGTCTCACCCAGTTGCTTAGTGCCTTGCTAAGTTGCTGAGGCTGGCTTTGAACTCGCAATCCTCTTGCCTCAGATTCTCGAGCCGCTGAGATTACAGGCATGCGCCACTGAGCCTGGCTCAACATCTTTTTAGTAAGAGATAATCACTAACTATTTCCTCTCCCAGGTTCTGTTTGGTGACTCTCGATAAAGCAGTCAGGGCTTGATGTTTTGCTGCTGGGAAGCACTAAGGCCACATGGGGCTGTTGAGGCCACACCCCCATCCCCACTGCCCTGCTGTTGACCAGGAGTAGGATTAAAGGGTCTCCATTTAAAGGGAAATATTGGCACTTAATTTCTATAAGATCCACCATAGATCAGGGGTCCTTGATGTGCCCCAACAGTATATGGCAAGAGGAAAGGCAGTGTAGACTGGATGGAAATGAAGATATCGGATTCAGCCTGTCTAGGCTTAACTCCTACCTCTCCCCATTACTAATTGTTCAGTTTGGGCAAATTAACCTCTCTGATTTTTTATTTCTACATTTACAGAATAAATACAATCTGAGGAATAAATGAGATATACATGTGAAGTAATAAGTTCAGTATGGCATGTAGCACTCAATACCTGTTAGGATTTATCATGTTGGTCAGTAGGATGGCCACTCCAGAGATACTTGTTAAGTCAATGCATTGATTCTCCATACAGATTGAGTTGGTCTTCTCTGGATAGTGTTGATCCCTACCACCTCTCTCCCTGCACCAGCCTCTCCTCAAAGATCCTAGCTACCAAATGAAGGGTTCCCCATGCAAAAGGCCTGAGACCCCTCTTCAGGCTGATTGATAGTCATCTGGAGGGATTCCCAAAGAAACAAAGATGATGTAATATGAGAAAAAAATGGGTTGTGAGAGCCAAAATATTTTTCCAAGCATGAAAAGCTTCAGGACTTAGGTCCTAAGGAGAATTCAAGAAAATCAAATCTCATTTTTAAAAATGAATGTTTCCACTGATAATGGGCAAAGCTTCCAAAGGCTTCAAATTGGATGCTCGTGATGGTTTCGCCATCCGTAGCCACAGGAGGTGACAGAGAGAACCACAAGGTCCTGAAGCAAAAGTGCTTTCAAACCATAGTCTCTGACCTCTGTTTTGGACCCAGATTACCCTGGCAGCAGGTCTTTTAGATCTCTATTCCCCACTTATGGATTGACAATCATTGAAGGAGAAAATAATCATCACAGTCTTTGAGTGCCCAGATATGAAGCTAGCTGCAGCAATTTTTAAATTCCCTATTTGTTTTCTGAGGTAATAGATATGCCAGTTCCCCTGATATGGTCATTGCACATTTTATAAATGCATTAAAGTATCTCACTAGACCCCATAAATATGTATAGTCACTACATGTCAATTAAAATATAAAAAATAAGTTCCATATTTGTTTCTTCCAGTATTAAAAAGTAATGTCTAGCATGCTCTAATCCTCATTCTAATATGTACAAAGTTGATGTGTTTGTTCAGAAAAGGTAGATTCACAGTAAAACTAGCCCAATTTGAACATTTATCTTAACTATACCGTATGTGTGTGTGTGTGTGTGTGTGTGTGTGTGTGTGTGGTTTAAAACATACTCCTACACCCAAAAAATAATAGATTTTAGTATAATGTAATCATGCTGATTTATAATACAAAATGATATGCTGGTAGTGAAAATCATGTTATTGATTATAGTCTGATCTCTTTTTCTGAGCCTTCTGCAAAGCACTTGCCACATCATCTTGCTTTGCCTCGAGGTGGGCATTGAGTCCCCCTCACCACTCGGAAGAGGACTCTGGCATTCAGAAAGCTGGGGAACCTTCTGAAGTTCACACAGCTCCTTGGGAATTGATGGCAGCTTTTCTTGGCCCAGGTCTGGGCCATTGTTCAGCTGCTTCTCTGATCGGGAAAATCTCTGAACTCTCCAATTGGTAGAAGCGGCCACACCACCACTTCTTCTTTCCTTGGTATCTCAAACCTTGGGAGTGGCACTATCGAGAGCCAGACATCTGTTTTACATGGATCAATTCTGGATATTCTTTTTTCCCCCTCTTTCTGTCTTTGAACAAGTCCAGGCACTCACAAAACCCATGATGATAACACTGTATTTGTACAAGCAAAGTGAGGTACGGATGGGAAGCAACCTTATGCCAAGTGTTTCAAAGCCAAGAAACACTTTATTTTGAATTATGTAGATACATTCTCCTGTTTATAAGTTTATTTATGTATTGTAGACCCAACTTAAGTACTGTTTAAAGTTTTCAACTGGTGTTCATGGTGTGTATGTGTTTGTGTGTGTATGTGTGTGTGTGTGTGTGTGTGTGTGTGTGTCTGTCTGTCTGCCTGCCTGCCTGCCTGCCTGGGGCCATCATCCCTGGGCAGGGTGGAAGCACCCATATAAGTCTAATTATTCTATTATTCCATTCTTCAACTGAGCTGAACCTAGTCAGTACTTGATTAAAGCCTCTCCCACCTATCCTCCCCACCCCACCCCCACACACACTTACATTCTGACACCCATTAGCCATGTGTGGCCACTTAAATTCATTAAAATTAAATTTAAAATTCAATTTCTTCTTCACATTCGTCTCATCTCCAGTGTCTGATAGGCACAGAGAGCCGGTGGGTCCATACAGCACAGATACGGCTTATTTCCATCTCTGCCGGAAGTGATATAGGATACCATCATCCTAGAAGCTAAGCCAATGGCTGGGAGCCTGTGGAAGGGCGGGAGACTGTGAAGACAATTTGTAAATTTCAGTCCTGTTTTTAGCAGTCTTATTTTTCCTTCTCTATTGTTTTCCTTAGGAAGAGAAGATACTCAGAAGAAGGAGGAAACTGGAAAAAGCAACAAGGCAATTGGTTAAGCAAGAAGAGTTGAAAAGACTTTATAAAGCTCAGGTCAGAAAATAGACATGAGATGAGCAAGTGGGCCTGGGGCTGCATGGGAAGGCCCCTTGGGTCTGTGCTGTGTTGGGGAGGTGGGCTTTCTGGGAAAGGCCAGCCTCTTCTCTGAGGGACCAGGTGTGTGGCTTTCTGAAGGCCTTGGCCCAGTCCCTAGAGGGACTTTGGGCCAGGTGCTGAGCTGGCCCACTCCCAGCCACGTTTCCATCTGCAGACGCGTGTTCTGCAAAGCCAAGCTGAGACAAGAATCTGCATATGGCCTTGGGAATCACCCTGAACCCTGACTGCCTTGTAACACTGACCTTGGCTTTGTCCTCTGAGGACACATATCTTCCATCAACTCCCTGACTGTCTTTTCTAAGATGACAGGTAATGGGAGCTGTCTCTACTTTAGGATTTGTTGAAAACATTTTGGTTTACTCCAAACCTTTCTGCCCAAGGTCATTTACCGACAGGCAAAATAAAGCAGAAAGTCTAGGCATCCTCCGTCTCCCTGAGGACCCCAGCCATGTGTTGAAGAATAGCTGTATTTGAGGATATAAGGACTTAGCATGACTATTCATGTTAATTCATGTACCTTTCCCTCACTTTTTCCTTTTATCTAGTCATGTAACCCTGTGTGTTAGTCAGCTTCCCGTGACTATAACAACATACCTGAGATAATCAACAGGAAAAGAGAAAGGGTTTATTTTGGCTCATAGTTTCAGAGAGCCTAGTCCATGATTAGTAGTCCTGTTCCTTTGGGCCTGTGGTGACACAGCCGTCATGGTGGGAATGTGTACTGGAGCCACCTGCTCACCTCATGGTGGCTGGGAAGCAAAGAGAGAGAGACAGAGGAGGAGCTGGAATTCCAATATCCCCTTCAAGGGCACATCCCAGTGATATAACTTCCTTCTAGTAGGTCCCACCTCCTAGAGGTTTCACCACTTCCAAATAGCACCATGGGCTGGGGACCGAGCCTTTCATATGTAGGCCTTTGGGGAACATTATAGATCCAAACTACAGCATCCTTAAATAGCTCCTGCCAAGAATGAAGTCCTTTTACCAGCTTCCATGATCTTTTCCAGTAACTGACTCAGGGCCACTTCCATATCCTGGACAGGAATGACTCTATAAACTCCTTAAAAATGTTTCCACTTGTCCTTCTAAGAGCAAGACACTTCTGTATGACACTGATTGGCAAGTCTTGCAACTTCTCACTTCAGGCAGTAAGAAGAATTACAATGGCCTTTTGAGTCCTAACCTGCTGGCACCCGTGGTGGCCCTCTTTGATCTCTGATTTCACCCTTCCTTTCTCAAGACTCACCACTGCACAGGTCTGCTTGGGCTGCCATCACCCAATGCCACAGGCTGGGGGGCTTAAACAACAGACATGGGTCTTCTCACCCTTCTGGAGGCTGCAAGTCCAACATCAAGGTGCCATTCAGCTTGGAGAGTGGTGAAGTCTCTTCCTGGCTGGCAGGCAGCTGCCCTGGCTGGGTCCACACATGGTCTGCTGCATGTGCACATGTGGGGAGAGAGACCTCTGTTGTCTCTTCCTCTCCTTATAAGGACAGACCTATCCGATCAGGGCCCCATCCTTGTGACCTCCTGTGACCGTTACTGGCTTCTTCTAGACCCTGTCTTCAAATACAGCCCCACTGGGACTTAGGGCCTCAACTATGAATTTGGGGAAAACAGAATTTAGTCCCTAACAGTCATATAGCTGTACTGCACAGGCATCAGTAATAAAGTCATTTAAAAGCTTCCCTTCTTAGTAATTCCACAGCATACTTGCAAGGGACAGATTTATAAAGATACAATAATGTCATTAAAGGACAGAAAGGAAGAGGGCATGAAATTATAAGTAATTATAAATAGAATTTCTGTCTATTTCAGACTTTAGGTTTTGAACTTGAATACTCGTAGCTGGGACAAGAGAGCCAGGTGGCTGCTCAGAACCCACCCCTGCTGGGGTCTCTTCACGGGATCAGAGGTGCCTTGGCGACTGTGCCCGTGATTCCAGGGGGGAAGGAAAAGCATGTGGGTTAAGGAGGAAGGGATGAGGCAGTGCAGAAGTCCAATAGAAAAAGAAGGCAGGTGTCCTGCCTGCCCAGACAGCTGACAGTTCCTTCAATGTTCCTCTTCTGACAAGTGCAAATCCATTTTGCCAAAGGATGTCCCTTTGGGCAGCATGGGTCTGGTGTGAGAAAGCAGAGAAAATTGATGAGGATAAAGAAAATTATATAGGAAAGGCTTTCCCCTAGCTCTCCTTCCCAACAGACTTCAAGGAATCATAGCTAGCAGGGAAAAGAAATGTATTAATGCAAGTCCAGTGGTGACCCCAAACCTTAATAGGTGCTCTGGAGAGTCTAAGGAGAGTCTGAGTTGTCCCTTAATGTGTTAAATAAACATCATGTGTCTTGTCTTAATAACTTGCTTGTCACAAAGCCACAGTACACTTCTACAGTGACAGAACCCTGGGCAAGAAAAGCGTCGGTGCCATTAGTGGCCAAGGACAGTAGCAGCATAATCCTAAAAAGAAGCTGAGCAGGTCTCCTGCCCATATCACATTCTAGAGAAGTGTCTGCTGGCTCTCCTTGAGAAAATAGAACATGGACATACTTATCTGGGCTCGTATTCTGTAGCCCTGGTCATTAGGCTATGGCGATAGTCAGAGGCTGTGGGCTCCAAGGAACCCAGGAACCACGGGGACCACCTACAATCCCTGCAGTCCCATCCTGGAGGACTCCGGTGTGCCTGACCTTGTCAGGGGACTGTTTTGATAATGGACTTGGCAGCAGATGGAAAACACGGGGAACATTAAAATCTGGTGGTTTGGGAACTCTGAGGCCCTTGGCCAGGACATGGAGGCAGTAAGGTCACTAGAGACGGCGCCTCTTCCTCCTGGAGAGCCAGTGGCACAATCAGCCCCTTTGATGTGTGTCCAGTGCTCCCTGGTGATGTGTGATCCTGGTGTTGCAGGCCATCCAGAGGCAGCTGGAGGAGGTGGAAGAGCGGCAGAGGGCTTCCGAGATCCAGGGCGTGAGGCTGGAGAAGGCCCTGCGAGGAGAAGCAGGTACGGCACCCGTGCAACAGGGTGCGGGTCTGAGCCTACCATTTGAGATCGGTGCTGGTCCTATCCTAGGGGCTAAACAAAGAGAACATGTTCCGTCCCCCCAGAGATCTGTCAACGTGGACAAGTACTGCTGAGTCCACAACTGCTTCACACTTTTTTTAAGCTTTTTTTTTTAAAAAAAAAAAACAACTTATTTTTATTTGTATACACGACAGAAGAACGATTCTGACATTTTTAAATACATGAAGCATAACTTCCATTCTTGTGGTTGTACATGGTATGTAGTTACACTGGTCGTGCATTCATATAGGGACATGGAAAATTTATGTCTGATTCATTCTACTGTCTTTCCTATACTCATTCCCCCTCCCTTCACTTCATTTCCCTTTGTCTAAACCAATGAACTTCTATTCTTCCCTCCTTCTCTTATTGTGTGTTTGCATCCAAATATCAGAGAGAACATTTAGTCTTGGGTTTTGGGGGATTGGTTTATTTTACATAGCATGATAATCTCCAGTTCCATCCATTTACTGTTAAATGCTATAATTTCATTTCTTCTTTATAGCTGAGTAATATTCCATTGTGCATATATACCACATTTTTTTTTTAGTCCATTCCTCTGTTGAAGGGCACCTAGGTTGATTCCATAGCTTAGCTATTGTGAATTGAGCTGCTATCAACATTCATGTGGCTGTGTCACTAGGGTATGCTGGAAATCATCACATTTTACACTAATATTTTTCCTTTGCATGCCTTACTAGAAAATAGAAAACAAAAGGCTAAATTTGTTTCTCTTACTAACACCTAAAGGTATATATCGTTTACACTGACTTCCCTCCTTTTTTCTAGTTTTTCTATATCCTAAGTTCACATTTCTGCTTCACACTTTAAAAATCCCATAGTGGCTGTGCTCGGTGGTGCGTGCCTATAACCCCAGCAACTTGGCAGGAGGATTCCAAATTTGAGGACAGTCTCAACAACTTAGTGAGATGCTAAGACACTTAGCAAGACCGTTTCAAAATAAAAAAAGAAAGCAAGCATGGGGCGGCGGGGTGGGGGGGGAGAAAAACCTAGCTGGTGGTTCAATATGAAGTTCCTCTGGGCATTGATCAGCTGGTGGACCTTGTCACTGCTCTTTGAGACACGCAGCCTCTATTCTGGCTAGCATGAATGTCCTTTGCAATTCAGGGTTTAAGATACATGCAGGGGAAATATTTGGGAATTTGAGCAATTTTTGGAAGTGATTCCAAGCTCAGTTAAAGTCCTGGTTTCTCTCTTTTCCTTCTGTGTCACCTGGGGCTAGTCACGTTATAAACCTTTTTTAAACTTTCATTTTTCTCATCGAAAACTGACATACAAGTGCTTTTCTACCTTATAAACTGAAATAATGATTAAAGGAGAAATTATACATGATGCTGAATTGAATTAGCCCATTGCCTGGACTTAGGTAAAAGCAATAAATGGGAATGACCCACGGAGCTTYAGACTCCTACATTCAGATCAAGCCCATCCCTGAACTCCTGCCACGTGCTAGACATGAAGGTATGACAACGTTTCTGCCTTGAGAAGTTTATAGTCCATTTGTCCACTGAGGGACAGAGACAGGTGAACAGGTGGAGCACAGTACAGTATGAGAGCTATAATAGCATGAGGGGGCCTTGCCGGTGAACCAAGATCTTAGAGGGAGAGCGTGATCAGGCCAGGCTCCCTGGGAAAGGTGGTGTGCAAGATGAGAATCGGGAGGAAGAACAGGGATTCACCAGTGAGGGCTCAGTTTCCTTAAGTAGGAGTCATGATCAGACTTGCTTCTTGAGCTTGCACCAAGGATTAGCTAAAACAGCTCACACAAAAACCCTCTCTCAGTGCCTGGCATCCAGTGAATGATTAATCAAGTTTTTTTTTCCTTTTCTTACTAATTTACACTGGATTTCCTTGTAAAGAGAACCCCCTCATCAGTACTTATCTGTAGGAATCTCTTGGTTGCAGCAAAAAGCCTGGGAAATGAAAAGGACACACCAGCAGAGCTGGGGCCTGTGTCAGTTTGCCATTAGGAACACAGGTCAACATGCGACACGGTTCTGCTCCCATTAGGCTGGGCAGTCTTGGGAAAATTGCTTAATGTCTCTGGCCCCAGATTCCTATCTGAAAGATGGAGATGATAATTCCCGTATTGTCAAGTCATTTTGAGAATTAAGTTGATGGGCCAACATCTACCAGAGTGTCTACTATAGTGTTGGCATCCAACAAACACTACCTAATCTTATTTTGCAAAATATTAAGTCTCCGCACACATAGACATTTAAAGAACTGTCTTTCTCATCTTGACTGTTTGAAATTTAAATCATAGACACCAAACTTCTAAAGCTTCTTTTGAAAATTTCCCACATAGCAGATATTAAAAAAAAAAGAAAGAAAGAAAAAGAAAAAGCAAAGCAAGCTAGCTAGCTAGCTATTTTGAATTTCACCTAAAGAAATCTGGCCAGTGGATAGTGTTTTCAAAGGCGTGCCAAGCCCATCGGAAGATGGATTCCATTCATTCCCTCTATGTCCTTGTTAATTTAATTCCCCCCATTAAGTTTATGGGCCTTTTTGTCCTTGAATATCCTGGTGGGGGTGACAGATACAGATCAACAGGGGTGGGAGTGGTGGAGACAAAAAAGAGTCAAGTCCTGGAGCATGGCCTCCCTGGAGATCAGGAAGAGTTGTGAGCCAGGCCATCAGAATTAATCCACTGTAACTCATAATAACATTTGTGAAATAATAATATTCCTTGGCAGTTCAATATTCTATCCAGTCCCTTTAAGAGATTGCCCTGTTGCTTAATGAATGACCAATGCTTATTAGGTTAAGTTGTATTTGAGCTGGCCTCTGCTGCTCCGGTTCAAGTGATTTAATGGGAATTATTTAATAGGTATTATTAGGATAATTAGAAAATGATCACAGTTAGGCAATAATATTGAGCTGTAAAGGTTGTGAATAACCAAATTTAGAGACAGGCCTGAAAACAGGAGTAGCCTGCGACAGTCAGGCCAGGCTCCTCCAATAATTATGTGCGGCAGCCTGAAAGGGCCTTTTGTTCCTGGGAGTTATTCATGAGGGGGGCGTTGAATCAGAGGACCGTGTGGGGGTGCAGGACAAGGGCCATGAGGGCTGATGAGCAAAACGAGGCTTTGATGAGCTCCTAATTGTCCTGACAACAATTCCTGCTTTCTTCTTCCCCATCAGTCAGAAATGAGCTCCTCTGCCCCACCCCCACCCCCCCCCATGGATTTTTCCCCATTTTGTAGAGAAAAGGAAAACAAAGAAAAACAGAAATCTGACCCATCCACCCCAGACGACAAATCATGAGGATTCGCAGGACATGTCTGTGTCTGTCTGTCTGTCTTGGACAAAGGCGATGGCATCCCCCCGTGGTCCTGTCTGCACAGGTGGTGGACAGGACAAGTGGTGCCCTCATTCCCGGGGACTGCCCTCGGTGGGAAGGCCACCCTGACACGGCTGGCCACTAAGCCCCYGCTCGGTGGAGGCACTGTTTGCTACCCACTGGTTTGTTGGTGGCCAACATGGTGGTCAGTGTTGCCCACAGGGGCCCTGGGATACCCCCATTTATCAAGAGACCACCCTTCCAACCTAGGTGGCCCCGGATGTCTGAATCTGAGCTTTCGCTCCAGATCTGGAAAGAGGTGAAATCTGAGGAAAACTGAGCAGCTTCAAAGGAGAAAGGATTTATCTGCAGGGAAAGTAGACAATTTATTCCTCCCTTATTGTTTTACTCTCTTTATCAGCTGGTTAGTTGTCTGCATTCGGCTTCTTGCCTTTTTTGGATGGTTTTCAGATGGTTTCTCCTTCATTAAGGGGTTCACAAAGACAAGTATGATGAGTGAGACTGCCAGCAGGTGGCAGCAGGAGCACACATTATAAGGAGAAACTTCAAGGACAATCTACACAGGAAGAGGGAAGTAGTTTGGTTTATACTCTGTGGTTTTCATCTTGACTACAGCTGAGGAAAAGAAGGAATAATATTTTCCTAAATAATGTAAACATGAGTCCTGAGGGGGGAAAAAAACAAAACAGGTATTAGACACTCCCGAGTTTGGATCTTGGTGTCGCCATTATAAAGCAAATACCTCTCTGACAAATTTTCTCCTCTGTAAAATGGGACTAATAATATCCACCTACTGGGGTTGTATAAAGAAAAGGTTAAATAATATGATGTTGGTAAATCATCTGAAAAGGAGCCTGGCATATAATGGGTGTTCCAAAAAGATTCATTCCTTCTCCTTCCTTTTATATCCCCATCACTTGAAAATGCAGTTTTCTCAAATTGTGTTCATTTGCTTATTTATTCACTCTATTCACTTATAACTATATTCCCTAGAAGAGATTTAAGCTGGTTTCTATAAATACAAAAAAAAAAATACATGCAGTTCACATGTTTTGTCCAAGTGAGAATCTCATTGCAGATTCATTGTTGTGCCCCAACAAAACACCACTGATTCCATAAATGCAGTTCAACAATGAAAGCAGAACACTGTGGTTCTAAAGCCTGCCTCTCTGATAGCCAGCCATCACTTGGGAATGGATCTGGGGACCGGATATCGCTTAGGAAACCTTCCAGAACTATTTGTTCTCTAAATGTACCCAAAGGTGGTCAATTCAAGGTTATATACATGGCCGGTTACTGGCTTTTAAAGGTCAGCAGAACAGGGGAAGGGTTGAGGACCCTCCATGTTCAAGGAGTCTGACTGTTTGAATACAGGTAACCATAAAAATGGAACCACAGATAATATTTCACCACAGAATAAAATAGGATATGGTCAGAAAAAGGACTCAAACTTTATTGAGAATGGCAAGAGTAACAAGAATCCAGAGTTAATGAAGCCAGGAATTTGAGTTGGTTTGCCTTAGCTTTATAGATTCCGGATACTTCCAGTGAAATTCAGTGAATCACAGGAAGGGAGTTTATTATTCATAGCACAGTGTACAGCAGGAGCATCAGC